GAAGGAGAGAGGAGGAGGAGAGGAGGAGGGGAGGAGGGAGAGGCGGAGGAGGAGGAGGAGGAGAGGAGGAGGAGGAGGAGGAGGAGGAGGAGGAGGAGGAAGATGAGGAAGAAGGCCCTAGGAGCTCCAACATGGTGCGAAAAGCTGGGGCCGCCTTGGGCCAGGACCACTGCGAGCAACACTGGAGCTGAGGCGGTCGGCTCCGTCGGGCTGCTGGCTCTGGGAGCCTGTTGTACAGCAGAGGCCTCCCAGATGGGGCCGAGCAGATGGGGTCGGAGGATCGCGCCGCATCGCCGATGCATCGGAAACGTCGGCAATGCATCGGTGACGTCGGCGTGGAGAAGGTCAGGCACCACATCGAGCCGCGTTGCCGATGCATCGGCGATGCTGCGCGATTCTCTGGCCCCATCTGCTCGGACCTGATCCCCACACATGCGACGCCTTGTTTTTTTCAATACGTGGTCTCCGGATGCTTCGATCCTGTCCCCGGGATCGGTTTCTCACCCTGAATCGTCTTTGACGGTCCTGGGGCCCGGTGAAGGCCCCTGGAATGCCAAAGTGGCCCCAAACCCGGCTACACGCAAGAGTGCCCCAGGGCAACGCAGGGGGGTATGGGGGTACGGCCGCAATTCGAAATGATTATTCTTCCGGGCGCCTGCGGCAGAGCTTGGAGGCATGGAAGGTCGGAATTTAATTTGCGCGAGGTTCCCGGGACCATCTGCGAAACAACTTCGAACGAGCCGGGTCAATTTACGCGAGCGCCAACTATTACCTTTAAGTTGGGCGTGTCCCCCTACAGGGGGATGTTCGACGAAAAATTAAAAATACTCCCAAAATACCCCCAAATGGTCAAAACATACTCAAACAATAATCACAAGACTATGTTTTGACTGTTTTTGAATATTCCCCCTGTAGAGGGACAGGCCCGACTTAATACTACCTCTGGTGCGCGGCTCTTGGGGGGCGCGAGGGGGCCAGTCTCGAGCGCGCAGGCCGCTGCCAGCGCCTCGCGCTCGGCGGTCGGAGGGGCCCACTGGGCCCGCACCATAAGGTCACTCCCTGGGGAAGGGCCACTCTCCTGTGTCGTCGACCCCCCCCCCATCCCCGTCTTGATTTTTTTCCACGACGCGAGCATGTCTTTTTCAGTTTTCCCCGTCGCCGATTTTTCTTGTTCGCGACGACGACGCGCTCCCCCACCGCCGAGTTCAATTCTCCTTGTCGTAGCTCGGGTCTCCGGCGGCCGCTCGGGACGATCCGGGCATCCATCCCCGGAACGCTCTCGGCGAGGCGCAGCCGCTGGAACGCATCCCGAGGGCGGCACACCGGCAAGAGCTCATGAACATCGCCCGCAAGCCTATAGAACCTCGAAGCCATCCCCGTCTTGAGTTTGTTCACGACGCGAGCACGTCTGGGTCTGGGGGGCCCGGATGCTGGAACGGAGGCGCTGCCTCCGACGGCTACACTCGCGTCCGCGGCCTCCCGCGGGCCGTGCCGCCCCCGCCCGTGGGCGAGGCGTCCACCTCGACGACTTCTCTCGAGGTGCCCGCCTCGCCTGGCCGTCGAGGAGAAGGATCGACGGTCGAGGAGCGACGAGGAGGTGAGGAGGCTATGATGATGACGATGAAGATGAAGATGATGATGATGATGAGGAGGAGGAGGTGGAATAGAAGGATGATGATGACGATGATGCTGGTAATGGTGATGATGGTGATGATGGTTATGGTGATTCTGATGATGATTCTGCTGATGATGATGATATGGTGGTGATGATGATGGTGATGCCGATTATGATGATGCTGCTAATGACGATGCTCCTGCTGATGATGAGGATGCTGCTGATGCTGATGCTGATGCTGATGCTGATGATGCTGATGATGATGATGAGGAGGAGGAGGAGGAGGAGGAGGAGGAGGAGGGCCCCTGCCCGATCGGCGATGGTCCTGGGCCTGGGTCCCTCCGTCGGCCCCAAGGCCGGCCCAGCGACCACGAGGCTCATCCATCCCGTGCCCGTGGAGCCCGCTCACGGCGTGCACGTACGGCCACACACGGCCGGAGCCCCTGTGAATGGGGACAGCGCCATCGCCCTCTGCGCAGCAGCGGGCCCAGCCCTGCTCCCGCCGCGGCCCGTGGCACGGCGCCACATGCCTGGCCGTGTTCGGCCTCCCAGTGGCCCCTGCCGGGCCCTGGGGCCGTCGAATAACGACTCGGGGTGATGTTTTTTGTTTGTGCTCTCTCCTTCCTCCTCTGTCTTTGTGTTGTGCTCTCTCCTCTCTCCTTCCTCCGTCCTCCTCCTCTGTTTTTTGTTTGGGCTCTGGCAAGGAGGACCTGGGGCAAGGGGTCCGGACTCCCGGAGAGCTCGCGGAGAAAACAAACTTCTGAAGACACCACGACAAACACCCGGGGCAGACAGAAAACAAGCACGATGACAGAAACTGAACAAAACGAGCATGCCCGGAGCGCGCCGGAACAAACAGCGCATGCCTGGGAAGAGCCGGGCCGTCCCGCTGCGCGCCTGCGCGCCTGCGCGCGGGCACTCGCGCCGCCCCCTGGGGCAGGGCCAGCTCGGCGGCAAGCCCTGAGATCCGACGTCCCCCAAAAATGGAGACGCCGCGAAACGTCGAGCCTGGAGCCCTGGACCCTGCCTTTCTGCGCCGTGTTCGGCGCCGGACCGGTCCGTGAGGGTCCCGGGGCCCCGACGCTACGCGAAAACGCCCGGCTCGGCAACATGGACTCGCCAGGATCTCAGGGACGGTGCAGAGCTCAGAGATCCGATGTCGTGTTTTTTTCAATACGGGGTCCCTGGAACTCTCGACCCATTCCCCGGGACCGGTTTTTCATCCCGAGTCGTTGTTTGACGGTCCCGGGGCCCAGCGAGGGCCGCTATAGAGGCCGCAAGCGATGAAACACCTCTGTCTCGATTTTTTTCGAGACGCTGATTTGATTTTTCCAAAGGCGATTTTTTCGAGAGAAACCTCCGCCTCGATTGTTGTCAATGCGTTGGGCGCCTGGGGAGCTGGGCCGCCCCACTCTGCGCCTCGCGGAGCCGCGCCGCGCGGGGCCGCGCCGCCCCCCCGGGGGGGGAGGGCCAGGGCTCGGCGGCCGGGGCCGCAGTGCGCGCAGGGCGCGGCCAGCGACACTTCAGTCGGGCCTGTCCCCCTACGGGGGGGATATTCAAGAATAGTCCAAATCTACAGGGGGAAGATCCAAGAGTAGTCAAAAAATATTCCGGGGACTATTTTTTGAACATTTTTGGGGCATCTTTTGCGCATTTGTTGGGTATCTTTGATTTCTCGTCCACAAAATCCCTCTGTAGGGGGACAGGCCCGACCTAAAGCTGCAGCCGCGCCCCGGGGTGTGGCCCAGACAGGCACGCGGCCGCCGCTGCTCTGCCCGCGTATTTTACCCCGGGGACCCCCAGGGGGGCCCAAGCACATACACCAGCACCACCACCTCCCTCGCCCCCTCCCTCTCCCAGGGAAGAGGAGGGGAAGAAGAGGGCAGGGAGAAGAAGAACGAACGCCATGAACAGAAACTTTTGGCGCTCCGCGCGGATTTCTTGGATCCGCGCTGGGCCCCTCTCCCTGGCGCGCGGAGCGCGCCTAGAAGAGGCATGCAGCCGCCGATGCTTTTCGCTCATTTTCGCCGTTGGGCTGGAGGGCCAGGCCTACCGGCTTCCAGAAAGCCCACATCTGGGGCCGATGCCACGAAATACTGCTCTCACGTCCTGGCCAGAAGCGTCCATGGGCAGGAAGCTTTGGGTGTCGTGGCGTCCACAGGCACTTTCGGGGTGGATGCGTCTGTGGACAACGTGGCCGTTGCGTTCGGCGCGGTTCGGGGGCGGCCAGGAGGGGGGCGCGTCCGAGAGGGGGGGGTGCGAATCGTGGCCGGCGGCGTGTGCGCGGCCCGGGGGGGGGGGCCAAGGACGGGATGAGACAAGACGAGGCGCCATGAGATCAGGGGAAATATACCATGGCCCACGCCAGGATAATGTTCCCCCCCTAGCCATCACCCCCCTCTTCGCCGGCCGCCCCCGAGCGGGGCAGACCCGTCTGCGGCCCCAGCGCCGATCCGAGAAATCCGCGCGGACCTCCGAGTCTTTCTGTCTGTGTCACTTATTGTTCCCCTATCAGAGCAGGTCCCGCAGGCACTCCCGCCTTCGGCCCCCGCCCCCCGCCCTGCCGGCGGCCCGCGGGTGCCCGCAGCGCCCGCCTTCGGACCCCTCCCCATGGGGGCCCCGGCCGCCCCTATCCTCGGCCCTCCCCCCCGGGGGGGGGCACGCCGACTGGGCGCCCGCGCGGCCTCCCCCGTGGGGCGGCCCCGGGAACGCCTCGCGCTGGGACCGCTCCCGTCAGGTCGGGCATGTCCTCCTACAGGAGGATTCATGGCGGGAAATAAGGGATACTCAAACACATGCCCCCCCACATCATCAAAAACAGGCAGAGCATCGTTCCCAGACTATTTGTTTAAACACTGTTTCTGCATATTCCTCCTGTAGAGCTGTAGAGGGACATGCCCGACTTAACACTCCCGTCAACAGTCAAGGGGAACGGGGAACGGTCCGGCCGCTGGCTGCACTCCTGGGGGGAAGAGCGGCAGGTGTCGATCGATGGGCCCTCCCAGTTGGCGGCGATGTCCCCGTCCACAGGGCCCCCAGATGGTTGCGGTCGAGGGCCTCGAGATGAGAGATAACGCTGGCCATGGTCCTGCTCAGGACCTCGGGGGGCACCCACATGGGGCGGCGCGTCGGCGTCGCCGCAGCGGACAAAAAAACCTGGGCCAGGAATCGCGCCGCATCGCTGAATGTGTCGGCGACTCGACACAATTCAGAGGCCCCTCTCTATTCTGGCACCATTTGCGCGCCCTGGAGGACCTCGGGGGGCACTTGATCGACCTTTGTGAGCACGACCATCAATTGCCTCTTGCTGCCCTGCAGCATCTCCCAGAGCTGCTGGTCGCTCTCCTTCACGCCGACGCGCGTGTCCACGAGGGATATGACCCTGTTAAGTAGCCTCGCCTCCGTGATGTACTCCACCGACCCCGCGTTTGCCAGGGGTGAGAGGACGTGTGAGGCAGTTGGCTGTCCGCCCCCCCACGCTGTCGTGGAGGCGGCTGTGGATTCTGAACTCTGGCGCGCAACTGTTCACCCCGGATCCGTCCTTCGCAGCCCTGGGGCCCGCACGCGGCCTCCGGAGGCCAGAAAGGGCCAGACAGCCTTCTCGAACCCAGAACCTCGAGCCTGCCCCCCGCACCCAGGCACCCGACGTCATGATCTGTGTCGCAGCGTCGGCCCCCAGAGGCCTCGGCCCACCTCCCAGGACCGGCTTGTCCTCCTGAGCCGTTTGCTGATGGTCCCGAGGCCCAGTGAGAGCCCCGGGAGGCCGAACATAGCAACAAAAAACCCTCACGACGCGATTTTTGCATGACCAGAAGGGGTCTGGGTCCCCCATTCCTGCTGGCCGGAGCCGGTGCTATGGGCCACCTCGGACCCCCAGAGGCGGCTCCAGCGCTGCCCCGCCCCCAGGTGTCCAGAGTGCCGCTCGGGAGGGGCGGCGAGCTCCCCGCCTTCCGAGCCTCCGGCTCCACCCGCGCGGATGCCTCCCTCCTCCAAGGTGACCAAGATATGCCCGCCAAGACGGCTCCAGGAAGGGGGGTCCTGCGCGGCCAAGGCGCCCAGAGACAGCGCCAAGTGGCCCACCGAGCCCCAGAAGGCTGCCCACGAGAGGCCCAACCCCGTGCAGCACCATAACTACGCACTTCATACATGTTGAAAGCCTGTGAGGCCCAAATCGGTGCAGCATAACCGCTTTCGATGGGCTGCTGAGGCCTCAACATGGCTCCAAGATCGGCCCAGGAGAGCTCCAAGAGGGGCTCAGAAGCGCACCAGACCAGCCCCGGATGCCCCCCAAAGCGCCTCAAGAGCGCCCCAAACGGGCCCAATAAACTGGCTTCCAGGCGCCAAGCTGGGGGACTCATTTTTTTTACTGAAGACCCTTCAGTGGAAAATCATGGGGGCCTCCCATACCATCTTGTTGGCACTTGCAAAACGACGCTATTCGACGCTGAATCGACGCTAATCGACGCTGGTCGATGCTGAATCGGCGCTATCCCATAGATTACCAAACGCTTTTCGACGCTAGTGCACTCTCAAGACAGACTTGCGAAGCACACAAGGCTCCCATAATGTGCTACCGAAGGAGCCCCTGCTTCTATACCGATGGCCTCAAGCATGGCTCCAAGAAGGCCCGCACTGCCCACACATGATGCTCCGCAGCACGATGCCGGCGCCGTGGTCGCTGTGAGAGGCCGCCGCCGCGTGGATGGCAGCGACAAGGCGTCACGAGCAGGGGAACCAATAACGACACAAACGCAAACACAAGCACAAACACAAACACAGACACAAATACAGACACAAACAAACTCGGAGGTCCGCGCGGATCTCTCGGATCGGCGCTGGACCTTCCTCCCTAGAAGCGCGGAGCGCGCCAGGGGCGGCGCTGGAGGCGCCGCCAGGGGGCTCCAGCGCCGATCCGAGAAACCTGGTCAATGTTGTCTTTTTCGGCGTTTCGACATTGGGCGGAAGGGGGGAGGGGGAGGGGGGGTGTCTGGCTCCGGACTTCTGCTTTATGCGACTGTTTGCAACGGTGCGTCGTATGGGGCAGACTCCCCCTGCTTGAAACAGGCACCAAAAACAGCCAAGACCTACTCCACGAGGGGGGTGGAGGGGGGATGCGAGAGCCCGCGCCGATCGGCAAAGCAATGAATACTAGAACCACGCGCGCGCTTCGCGCGCGCTTAGGTTCTAGCTAGGAGGCGAGCTTGAGTCAACGAAAGTCGCAGGGAAGGGGGCAGGGGGAAAAAGGCCAGAGAGCGCTGAAGGATACAAATATTGGAACCCTCTTGTGATTTTGTGGGGGGCCTCGTCTGGCCGCTCGCTGGGAGTTTGACGTAGCTTCTCGGGAGCCTCTGAACCTGTCGGGGGCCTCCTGGAAGCAGGTTCGAAGCATTTTGGGGGCCGATTTGGGTCTTCTCGGGGCCTCCTTCGGGCCTCTTGGGGGTCTCCTGGGGCCTCTTGAGGGGCCTCCTTGGGGCCTCCTGGCGGCCTCTTGGGGCGGAAGGCTCGAGCTTGCGGTTCGTGGTCCCCCTCTGGGCCCCCTCTTGGGCCCGTCTTGGGGCCCTCTTGGGCCATCTTGGGCGCCTCTTGGGCCGTCTTGGGGCCCTCTTGGGCTGTCCTGGGGCCCTCTGGGAAACTTTTTGGGCCGTCTTGGGGCGGTATTGGGCGCCTCTTGGGCCGTCTTGGACGCGGTGAAAGCCCAAGAGGCGAACATGCGAAAAATATACGTTTTCCCATAGGAATGCACGATTTGTGCTTCTTGGGCCTCTCTTGGGCTGCCTCTTGGGCCCGTCTCGGGGCCCTCTTGGGGCATCTTGGGCACCTCTTGGGCCGTCTTGGGGCCCTCTTGGGCTGTCCTGGGGCCCTCTTGGAAGCTTCTTGGGCCGTCTTGGGGCGGTCTTGGGCGCCTCTTGGGCCGTCCTGTAACGTCGGAAAACCCAAAAGACAACTTTGTTGAAAATGTACGTTTTACGAAGGGAATGGGCCAATTCTTGCGTCTAGGGGCCCTCTTGGGACGCATGTTGGAGGCTTCTTGGGGCCTCTTGGGGGCGTCCTTGGACGTCTGGGGTCTCCTGGGGCCTCTTGAGGGGCCTCCTGGGGGCCTCCTGGCGGCCTCTTGGGGCGGAAGGCTCGAGCTTGCGGTTCGTGGTCCCCCTCTGGGCCCCCTCTTGGGCCCGTCTTGGGGCCCTCTTGGGCCATCTTGGGCGCCTCTTGGGCCGTCTTGGGGCCCTCTTGGGCTGTCCTGGGGCCCTCTGGGAAACTTCTTGGGCCGTCTTGGGGCGGTCTTGGGCGCCTCTTGGGCCGTCCTGTAACGTCGGAAAGCCCAAAAGGCGACTTTGTTGAACATGTACGTTTTACGAAGGGAATGGGCCAATTTTGCGTCTAGGGGCCCTCTTGGGACGCATGTTGGAGGCTTCTTGGGGCCTCTTGGGGGCGTCCTTGGACGTCTGGGGTCTCCCGGGGCCTCTTGAGGGGCCTCCTGGGGGCCTCCTGGCGGCCTCTTGGGGCGGAAGGCTCGAGCTTGCGGTTCGTGGTCCCCCTCTGGGCCCCCTCTTGGGCCCGTCTTGGGGCCCTCTTGGGCCATCTTGGGCGCCTCTTGGGCCGTCTTGGGGCCCTCTTGGGCTGTCCTGGGGCCCTCTGGGAAGCTTCTTGGGCCGTCTTGGGGCGGTCTTGGGCGCCTCTTGGGCCGTCCTGTAACGTCGGAAAGCCCAAAAGACAACTTTGTTGAAAATGTACGTTTTACGAAGGGAATGGGCCAATTTTTGCGTCTAGGGGCCCTCTTGGGACGCATGTTGGAGGCTTCTTGGGGCCTCTTGGGGGCGTCCTTGGACGTCTGGAGGCCATCTTCAGTATCTCGGAGCCCTCTTGGAGGCCTCTTGGAAGTTTCTTGGGCCGTCTTGGGCGCTTCTTGGGCCGTCTTGTCTGACTGGGGAGGCCTCCGGCAAGCCCCGACGAGCCTCCGGGCCCCCCGGGGTGCACATTTGCGGTCGGGGTCCCGGCCCCGGGCCCCCGGACCCGGTGCGCCGTTATATGTATAAGACAATGATCACCTGCGCGTACCGCCGAATTGTTGTGTTTATGTCGTTCTGGATGCGCATTCTGGGGACCTTCCTGGAGACACTCGCTCCACTTGTGCGTCGAAGCTGCGGCGAACGTCTGTCGATTTGAGCCGACCTTGGGTCGAACCTGAGTCGAATCTGAGTCGAACTTGAGTCGAACTTGAATCGAACTTGAGTCGAATTTGAATCGAACTGGGGTCGAACTAGAGTCGAACCGATCCGTTAGGTGGGCCCCAGGAAGATCCCCCAAACGAGCATTTAAGTCATTATGTTCCCCTGACGAGGGCCTTGCGAACAGCGATCATTGCATCGATCAGCACCAGCGGCCGGCCGGCGCAAAGTGCAGCCGAGCGCGACACAACGATCAAGGGCAACCCTTAGGAGGCAACTACTGGGAGGTTTTCGTCGGAAAAAATAAAAGGATTAAACCCCATTGGGGGGCTGTTATGCCGGAGTGGGCCTCGGATTAAGCCGGATTGCGCGGGATTATGCGGGATTAAGCCGGATTAAGCGGGATTAAACCGGATTAACCTGGATTAAGCCGGATTTCGGACCAGGGCAAAAACAGAATTTGACCTCCCAGGAGTTGCATCCGAACAACCCTGGCCGCTGGGGAGAAGAGGCGGGAGGGGAGGGGGAGGCATTCGAGGAAGGGGTCGACTACAGGATTGATGCACCCCAACACAAACTTGTCCGTCGAGCCCATGGAGACGACGTGGAATGTTATGGTAGATCTGCGAGCATCCTGCGCATTGTTGTAGACCCGACGAGAAAATCACTGCTGTGGTACACTAATTCTGTACGATCCCTGCTCGAGGCATGGGGGGCGGGCAGCCACGACCAGCCACACGCGCCCACACGCAGGATGCACAGCAGCAAGACGCCCGAGTCTTTATCCAAGAGGCCCAAGGACACACACAAATAAATTCACACACATCCCAGGATTCCCCTATGTTTTTCCATATTTTCTAGACTGTCGTATTCCCGTCCACTTCCCATATGTTCCCACATTTTCCTGGGAGTCGACGATTACTCGTGTCTGTGAGTTTTCCCCCTCCTGATTCATCTGCTCAAAAGACACAATCGTGGGCTGCTGGAAAGGTGCCCCTGGGGGGCCCTCTGGGCCTCGCGAGGGGGCCCTCTCGAGGGCGTGGGGGCCTCCTTGGAAAAATCGTTGGGGCACCTTGGGCCAATGGGGCACTGCTCGCAGCACAGCGAGACCACCCGGCACTCCGCCGCCGTGCGAGCGACCGGGCCGCCTCGTCCGGGCAGGCGGCTGGGAGGGGCCGACGCCCCGAGCGGCGACGGCGACGTTGCTTGGAACGGCCGGCCTGCAGAGGCCAAGGCTGGCCTCCAACGGCGATGCTGCTTCTAATTGGAGGCCTGGAAATTGGCACCAACACCAACACAAGGGGTTGCCTCCACAGGGGGAAGATGATCCTAGATTTCCGGTGTTGGTGGTACTAGTTCGGTCACCTTGGAAGCCAGAGTATTACCACCATCACCGAGATCGGGATCTTCTTCACTCGGAGGAGGCACACCGCTGAAATTGGTGTTGGTGTCAATCTCTAACCCTGCGATATGACGGTGATGTTGGGCACCGCGTCGTAAGAAATCACGAACCGCACTGTCCTACAGCTCCAGTCTGCGAATGGCTCGAGCGCGCAGGGCACAGCGAACCGCAGGGACAGCGCGAGCCGCGCGCTCCCACACTGCCGCAAGCTCTACATCGTCGTCACCTTCCTCCTCCTCCTCCTCCTCCTCCTGCTCCTCTTCCTCCTCCTCCTCCTTCTCTTCCTGCTCCTCCTCCTCCTCCTCCTTCTCGAGCGTACCCCAACGCTCGAGGAGGAGGAGGAAGAGGAGGAGGAGGCCCTCCTCCTCCTCTTCCTCTTCCTCCTCCTCCTCCTCCTGCATCGCCGCTCGCCCGTCTACGGAGAGTGAGCATTTAGGGTCAAAGCCACGAGGGCCGCACGGTCCGTCCACGTCAGACGAGCCGTCCCCGGCACAGGGATCACAGCCGGCTGCCTTCGCGCAGGGCGGCGCCCAGGAGACCTCCGAGGCCTCCGATTGAGGCTCCCGGAGGCCTCCAAGGAATGCTCCCAGATGTGTCGATGGGCTGCCTGGGATACTAGAAGCAGAAAGAGCGGCATAAACATAAACTTTTGGCGCTCCGCGCGGATTTCTTGGATTCGCGCTGGACTCTCCTCCCTGGCGCGCGGAGCGCGCCAGGGGCTGCGCGGGGGGCCCCAGCGCGGATCCAAGAAATCCGCGCGAAGCGCCAAAAGTTTACGTTTATGCCGATTTTTTTCTTTGAGATACGGGACGTGTAAACCAATACATTCGTTCATTCTCCCTTCGGGAGGGGGCAGGCGGAAGATGGCGTAAGCCTCTTGAGTCATTGATCAGCGAGGCCCAGCCCTCCTTCACCTTTTTGGACACCTGCGCGTAGCCGTACCCTGGGAGGTCCACGAAAGTGACCTCGCCCCCCAGCTCGAACCGGAAAAGGTGTCGGGTGCGGCCAGGCTTGTCGGACACTGGGGCTGCCTTGGGAGACTTCAGCTTTCGCCTCTCGCCGAGAAATTGGCCCTGCAATGGGTCTGGCCTGCGATGGATCAAACTATTCAGCAGAGTGGACTTACCGACGTTGGACCGTCCTGCGAAGGCCACTTGCGGGGTCGAGTTCCTCATCTCGCGCAGCGTCTCGGTCATGAGGACTGGGTAGCCCTGGACGCCCTTGCCGAAGAGCGTCTGGCAGTAGAGCCGCTGCTTCTCGCTCAGCCAGGAGGGGATGCGCGGCCAGGCTTGGGGCTACTCACGGCCGGCCCCCCCTCCCATTTTCTTGGTGTCCGGACAGAACACCCGGGCGACACAACCCGAAGGGAGGTGCCCAAGGTAAACCGGCCCCCCCTCCCCCGAGGTGGTCCAAGCTTCGGCGGTGAGCGAGGGTGGGAAGTGAGAAGGAGAAGGCCTTCTCAGAAGGGTCGGAAGTCCCCAAGCCTTCTAGAAGCTTTCAGAGCTTTCCCCGAAGGCAGACACAAACTTATGAGAAGGCTCGGGGGCTTCTGAGAAGTCCCGCCGCCTTCTGAGAAGGCCTTCTCCTTCTCATTTCCCCCCTCGCTCGCCGCCGATACGCACGGCTGGACCCCCCCGAGGTGGTCCAGGCTGAACTTCGGTCGGGCATGTCCCCCTACAGGCGGATTTTGGAGGAAAAATTTAAAAGTACGCAACAACAACAGAAATAGCCAACACTAATCGAAACATCGTCCCCATATGTTTTTGTTTTGACTATTTTTGAATATTCCCCCTGTAGAGGGACAGGCCCGACTTAAGGCTGGTCTCAACAGGCCACCCCCCCTTCAAGGCATCCCATGGCGGTTTCGAGGCCCGCTCGCCCGCGCCCAGGACGTGAGGCCTGGGCTCGGCGAGGGACCTCGAGACCGCGCCTATGCAGTCGAACTGCTATCCTCAGGAACGCTACGCTAAGGTGGGGCAGGTCCCCCTGCAGGGGGATTTTGGACGAAATGTAACAAATAGTCAAATCATACGCCCAAACTGTCAAGACATCATAGAAAGTTCGTCCCCAGACATTTTTTGACTATTTTTGAATCTTCCTCCTGTAGAGGGACAGGCCCGACTCAACGCTACGACAGGAACGAAGCCCCCATGTAACCCCCCAAAAGCGCCCTGGTGCACGTGGAGCACCAGAGGAACAACCACGCAAGGACCCCGAGAGCAGCGAAGCCAGTCCGAACCCAGAGAGGTCCTTGTCTCAGCGCCTTGGCCGTGCCCTGAGGGCCCGTTGAGGCAGGCCTCCGACGTCATGCGGTCTTCCTGACGCGGGCCCCTGGACGCCCCAACCCCGTCCGGGAGACCCATGTTTCATCCCAAGGATTCTTGGTGATGGGTCCCCCAGGGCCCGCAGCGCCCCCCCCGGAGGCCCAATCCGAGAAGAAGCTGGCCGCCCAGACTTCTGCTTCGTGGCGCGAGCGCGACTCAAGTCGACCCCCAGAGACCCGTCGCGGGGTGCCCCCTTGCCAGCATTTCGAGGCGGAACCAGCCGTGGCCACCGAGGGCGCTCTGGGGGGCCCCCAGAAGCTGAAAAACATCCCAGAACCTCGATCCTCGATTCAACGGCCTGGGTCGACCCATCCGCTGCCGCTCAAACTGCGCCCCCGGCCCCTTCTGGAGCGCATTTTGACCAGAGGTCCAAGGCGAATCCAGCCGCGACGGCGAGGACCCTCCCAGAGACACAGAAAACATGAAAGCTCAGATCTCTTCGTGACACTGGAGGTCTGGGACCCCGAGCCTCGCCAGCGGACGTGCGTCAAGTCGGACGGGTTGTGGATGTAAACCGGGAGAGGAGGAGGAGGAGGAGGAGGAGGAGGAGGAGGAGGAGGAGGAGGAGGAGGAGGAGGAGGAGGAGGAGGAGGAGGAGGAGGAGGAGGGAGGAGGGGGAGAGAGGAGGGGAGGAGGAGGAGGAGAGGAGGAGGAGGAGGAGAGGGAGAGGGAGGAGGAGGAGGAGGAGGAGGAGGAGGAGGAGGAGGAGAAGGAGGAGGAGGAGGAGCAGGAGCAGGAGGAGGAGGGAGGGAGGGGGAGGAGGAGGGAGGAGGGAGGGAGGGAGGATGAGGAGGAGGGAGGAGGAGGGCGATGGAGAAGCAGACCCACGGGCGAGCCAGCAGCGGGCGGGCCGCCGCCGCCGCCATGCGGCCCTGGCCTGCGCCCGCGGCCGAGCCGCCGCCGGCCGAGAGAACGCCCGGGCGGGGGCCCGTCGCGCCGGCAGACACATCTGGGAGGCAAGCGTCTCAAGTCAAGCAGAAGGAAGCGAAAGCAAGCACTTTGGCGGCGACGAGCGAGCGAGGAGGAGGAGGAGGAGGAGGAGGAGGAGGAGGTCGGCCACTCGGCGGCGAGCGAGGGGCGGAAGTGAGAAGGAGATGGCCTGCTCAGAAGGCGGCGGGACTTCTCAGAAATCCTCGCGCCTTCTGAGAAGTCTTCCATGTCTTCGGGGAAGGCTGACAACACTTCTCGAAAATCGGAGGGCCTTTCGAGCCTGCTGAGAAGGCCTTTCTCGTTTCCCCCCTGGTTCGCCGCCGAGCGTGGGCGACGAATGGAAACGGATATCACGCGAGACGACACGGCGACCTTGTGCGGTGGCTTACGCCGGCCGCCGGCGCAGCACGCTACACTGGAAACCAAGGCACTTGCGCGCGGCCTTACCCAAACAACTTACGCGCCAATGTCTGTGAGCGCGACGCCGTTTTCCTGAGTCGTTCACTTCTTCAGACAGCAGATTACCCTAGCAGAGCACCCTGACAGCAGCCTGAAGTGCGGACGCGGGTCGAGGAGGAGGTCGGCCAGCGAGAAGTGCTTCAAGGGATTCCAATGGGAAGGGGCAGCCAGGACAAGGGTGAGAACACGGCCATGTGCACCCCAGGCTGTTTCTTCACGCGGGATCGTGGCCGTCCCGATCCAACATGCAGCTGGCATATGGGCCGAGGGCACGACTCCTTGGCACATCCGCCGGCCCCCCCTCGTGGGGCCACCAGGCTGCGCGGGTCGGGCCTGCTGCTCCGTGCTCCGGCTCCTGTCTCAGGCCTCCCATGTGAAAGTCCTACGTTCGGCTTGCTCTTGCACAGGGCAGTTTTTGATACATCTGATTCTTTACATCTATGATTTTAACACATGATTCATGTACTATGAATGAATTTATGCATGAATTCATCGTTGTTTTTAATTCTAAATCCCTGCATTTCTAATACATGATCCGCACGCGGAGCATGTACTAAAAACGGCACTGTTGATTGCTGAAGTCCGCGCGGGGAGGGGGGGCGACAGAGGGCCCTGCTGCCACGCCCGGGCCGCGTGCTCGGAACTCCTGCGGGGCCGCGGGACGCGCGACAATACCCGACAGTCGCTCCCCTGGCGCCATTTCACCTAAGAGAAGCTCGCGTCACTTCACTGAAGCCACAAGCCCGAATTAATCACAACAGATTCGGGTCCTCGAGGCCATAATCCTGTTTAAATTACATGGTATCTGCGCCCCCGAGGCCACGATCCCTGGCAATTTACACAATATTCGCGCCCGCGAAACAATACATCTTGGTAGGATATGCGACGTTCGCGTCCTCCGGGGCCACTCCTTCCGAAAAATACAGACTCGCGTCCCTGAGGTCATAAACCCTGTTGAATTACGCTAAACTCGCGTCCCCGAGGCCATATCCCCGGGTAGATTCACCCCACATTCGCGCTCCCGAGGCCACGATCCCTTATGAATGACGCCACGTTCCCACCACCGAGGCAACACTCCTTTGTAAATTAAACAACGTTCGCGTCCCCGAGGCAACGCTCTCATACAATGCTCGCGTCCCCGAAGCCAGAATCCTTTCCCGTGACAATAATCCTTGCAAATTATTCAAACTCGCGTCCCCGAGGCCAAGATCCCTCGTAATTTGCGCCAGGATCCCCCAGACATTAAATTAGGCCACGTGCCCGCCCCCTTTTTAAATTACACCACGAGCTCTTTTAAATTGCACCACGTTTGCAACCCCCTGGCCACTAGCCCGTGTAAATTACACCACAATCGCGTCCCCGAGGCAACAATCCCTTGCACAATACGCTGCATTCGCGCATCCGAGGCCACGATCCCTTGCAAGATGCGCCGCATTCGCGCCCCCGAAGCCACGATCCCTAGCAAAACTACAGCGCGTTCGTGACCTCGAGGCCACGATCATTCGTAAAATGTATAAGGATTCAGCCCCAGAGGCCACGATCCCTGCACAAGGCGCCACATTCGCGCATCCGAGGCCGCGATCCCTTGCAAAATGCATCGCTTTCGCGTCCGAGAAGCCACGATCCCTCGTAACATACCGCGTTTGCGCCCCCGAAGCCACGATCTTTTGCACAATTACCATGTTTGCGTCCCAAAGGTCACGAAAATACTTTGCGCTCGCGCCCTCGAGGCCACGATTCCTTGTAAAATGCGCCACGTTCGCGCCTCCCAGGCCACCACGCCAAGAAAAATGTGCCACGCTCGCGCCCCAAAGCCACGAAACAACCTCGCTGAGGCTGCCCAAACGCGCCACCCCCTCTCCACAGCAGAACAACAGAAGTTTTCTGTACTGGGACATGTGTTCGGTGGTCGCTTTTGCAGCCCCCCCTGCAGTTTCTTGAACATTCGGCGGTGTACCCGCAGCCGCGAATCCTCGAACATAGCGATGGATGCAAGGAAACAGGAGGCCGCTCCAACAACGCGATTCGGTTCAAGATGACCTCATGCAACCGGCAAGTGTACCGAGGGGGCTTCTCATGCATAGCACGAGGGGGGCGCCCCAGTTAGGCAACATCGCGTTGAATACTAACCCCGAGATGTTAATATGTTTTGATGATTCTCATCTGTCCTCGCATGATGCTCGCAGATGTCTTCAACGCGGCGCCCAGACACTCCAACATAGCTCTGATATGTCCCATTCTGATAGCGAGGGGGCCGGCGGCAGAGGGCGGTCCTTAGGGATATGAGGAAATCTCAAACAAAACGGCTGCCGGACCAGACGATCAAGGAGGGCGGTCCCTGGATCCCCGTTCCCCCTGTGGGACTATTTTTTGATGTGAGAGCCCTCTTGCGAAACGCTACTAGGGAGAATGTTGTGCCTTGTGCGCTGGCTGGCGATTCGGGATGCACGCATCGATTGCACCGCATGGCTTGCACCAGAGATTGTACATCACAGCCTTCATCCCGTGGATTGCGGGACATAGCTTGCACCATGTACCTTGCCCCCCCCCACATGACTTGCGTCCAGTAGATACTCTACCCCCAATGCCGAGGCTGGATGTATCCCCTCCCCCCCGCGTTTCTTTCAATACCTCTTCTGCACAACCGCTCATTAAGATATCAAAAGCTACACAATTCCAACTGATGCGGCATCGCCCCCACACCATCTCCGTCATGCAAGGCAATGCGGGGCACATGCGCTGGCATAGCAAGTGCGTTTTGCCAGATCCCGCATCGACTCGTGTACGTAATGAAGGCCGCGGTGTTCCCCTGGGCCTTGCCGAGTGTCCCCGCGTGACCTGTTCGGGCCCAAGAGGGTCCCCAATGGCCCCCAAGACGGCCCAAGAGGGCCCCGAGACGCCCAGAGATCCACCCACGACGCCCAATATGGCCACCAGGCGGCCCAAGAGGCCTCCAAGACGCCCAAAGAGGCCTCCAAGAGGCCTCCCACGGGGGCCCCAAGAGGCCAACATCATTGGTTTTGGGCGTTCTCGCCTTTTCGGCTTCCCGACGCTCCCAGGCGGCCCTAGAGGCCCCCAAGGCCGCCCGATGACGACCCAAGAGGCCTCCAACACAACCCAAGAGGGCTCAAGAGGCGCCCGAAAACGGCCGAAGAGGGTCCCACGATGGCCCCCAAAAGGGGCCAAAAGAGAGAACACGAACCGACAATCCGAGCCTTCCGCCCCAAGAGCCCCCCCCAGCAGGAGGCCCCAAGAGGCCCCCAAGAGGCCCCAAAGAGGCCTCAGGAGCACCCCACAGAGGCCCATTCGATGATGAAGGCCGCATGCGCGCGCCCCCCCGTGCGCAACTCAAATCTGTCGAAACTGACTTTCGACAACAAGACATTTGAGGTTTGTGTTTTTCTTGTGTGTGTGTGTGTGTGTTTTTTTATGATCTCTCTCCTTTTCCCTCTAGACGCAGACAAACTGAAGTATCCCTTGTGTTTTCCGACGCAAGCGCAAGATGTCTGTGCGCGCGCTCGCTGGAATAACAAGTGTGTCCCATACTTTTCTGTATGCACCACCATCTTGACTACCTACCAGACCACCCCAACCAAACCCGAAGACCCGAATTTCGGGTTGGGGGGGGCGGTACGGGTTCCATACGTGTTCTATCTATGTTCCCCACCCAGCCCCCCACTGGAAATGGAGGGCAAATTGAGGCCTTCGGGTTGAGTTGGGGTGGCTTGGTAGATGGTGAATTCTGCCGAGAGAGACCAGGCGGGCCGTACGCGCGAGCAGGTTGAACAACTACCGCGCGCCCGCCAGCTCTGTCAACAAGTACAGTGCGGGCCACTGGCGCGCGTCTCCGCGCGCGCACGTCGAAATCCTGCCAGCACCTTTTTATTCTTCTGCTGAGCACCTCAAACAAGAGGCGCTCAAACACATGGACGACCAATGGAGTGGTTGGAATAACTGCGCGCGCAGCGTCCTTCTAATTCCCACAAACATCATCATGACCATCATCGTCAGCGCTGTCATTGCCACCGGTATCACCATCATCTGCATTATCAACACCGTCGCTGTCGTCGTCATCATCTCCACCGTCGTCGTCAACATCATCGTCGTCATCTCCTTTGCTGTCGCCCTCGGCACCATCGTCACCGTCACCCCCAGCGTCAACATCGCCGCCATTATCACCATCACCTTCGCTACTGTACCACCGCCATCGTCGTCGTCACCATCGTCGGTGATGTTGTCGTCGTAGCCGTCGTCGACGGTGTTGACGATGTCACCATTGTCGGTGACATTGTTACCATTGTCGGTGATGTTGTCATCGTCGTCGTTGTCACCATTGTCGGTGATCATCGTCGGTGATTATCACCATCGTCGTCGTCACCATCCCCACCGTCGTCATCAACATCACCGTTGTCATCGTCGTTGTCGTCGCCCGCGTCGTCGACGCCACCACCACCACCACTAATCATCAACACCCTCG